CTGGCAGTCAGCACAGAGCCCGACGCGGGGCTCAAACCCACGAACCGCGAGATCATGACCTAAGTGAAAGTCGGACGCTTAACCGACTAAGCCACCCAGGTGCCCCAATCATATGTGGAATTTAAGAAACAGAACAAATGAGAAAAGGGAAAAAATGAGAGACAAATCAAGAAACATACTCTTATAGAGAACAAACTGATGATTACCAGAAGGAAGTGGGTGGGGGAATGGGTTAAATACATAATGCAGAATAAAGAGTGCACTTGTCATGAGGAGCACTGGGTGATGTATGGAACTATTGAATCTCTGTGTTGTACACTTGAAATTAATATAATGCTGTATGTTAACCAACTGGAATTAAACACCCACAAAAATAAAGTTTTAACCCCGTTTACAATTGAATTGTTTAAGGTAACTAGAAAACTTTATGCTTTTGGGACAGTTTATCTTTCTGGGTTATTTTTAGCGAAAAGCATTTTTTCACTTGTTAGTTGCCATATAATGTGCATTGGACAGAATGATCTGTTTTATGTTTGAAGCACTGATTCTTTACTACATACAATCTGTGCCCACATATTACCAGTACAACTTGTTGGAAAATAAAATGATTAGTCAATTAATCAGTACCTGTTTCTAAGTAAAACCAAATTTAATCTGATTTTTATCCCTTGCTGAAACTAGTATTATTAACTGGTTGTTGGACAGTCATTGGGTCACAGCTCATATCTTTAGAGATTTGTAAAGGAGTTTGCAATTCTGTCATTACATTAATGTTTTTGCAAGAAACATAAAGGCCTTAAATTAAAAATGATTTGCAAAATTTGGTTCTTCCCTAAAGAAATATATACATAAGTGGTGTTGCCAGATAAAATGATGGATGTCTAACTAGAAGTGTGGATTTTAGATAATCAACAAATTATTTATTTATAAGTATGTCCCAAGTATAGCATACGATATACTTATACTAAAAAATTATTTATCCGAAATTCAAATTTATTAGAATTTGAAGTTTATTGGAATTTTTTTACATCCTGTATTTTTATTTGCTAAATCTGGCAACCTTATATTGATATAAAATTTTAAAAACCCCAAAGAAATGCAGTGCAAAGTAAGTTTCTCTTAGTGTCCCTTAATCCCCCATATCCCACTATTAGTGTTTTTGGAAAGCTTGCATAAATAGTCTGTGCTTTTGTAAACATGTACATATTAATTTTATTTACATAAACATTTCCCTCTTTTATACAAATACTAGCAACTTAATACATTGTCTTGCAGAGTCTTTTTATTTAACTGTATTTCCACCACATGATTTTTGCAGTACATTATGGAAAATTTGGGGTTGTGTGATAGAGTGAACATGGGCTTTGAAAATAGGCACAGTTGGATTCAAATCTGGGTTCTTTGCTTGCTAGCCTCGGGACCTTGAGTAAGACCTGAGTCTCTCTGTTGTCTTTTCTGGAAGATGGAGAGGGTATATGCATGGCAGTGGAGGATATTGTGGGAAGCATGAGGGTCAGCATCCCTGCTCCCGTGACATAATGTGTGCGGACTGCCCTTGCCCAGCACTGTAGAGCTTCCTATAGGTGTTGAATCCTTTGAGCCATTTTTGGGTGTGCTTTGTAGTTCTAAGTGTCATGGCTACTGAATCAGGGTCAATTGTAACCAAATAGTGGTATGTCTGCAGGTGGAATTACATGGGCAGTAACTAGAGGGACTAGTGTACAGTAGCTATATATTTGATACTGTTTAAAAATGCTTATTTTCATTGTGTTGAGGGATTTAGCACCTTGAAATATAATAGCCATGTGTTTAAATGTATTTTCAATATTGATGTAAGGAGGCTTATTTTTTCTTGGAGATTTTTCTTAAAATCTTGGATTTTAAAAGTGATTTGTTTAAACATACATGAACATGATATAAAAAATGAATATTACTGATCTTTCTTTGATGTACCCACCCATAGTTTCTAAAATACTTAGTTCTGAGTTGTTCATACCTTTGCGTGGATTGTTGGTTGTGTTATCTACCCCAGTCCATTTCAGACTTCATGCAGTTTGGGCCTCTGTTTCTTCCTCTGGTTTCTCATTGTGTAGGGCAAAGTCAATGAACAGTTTTGAACTTGGAAAAAGAAAGAGATGGTATAATGAAACTTCCTTTTATCAAGATGCACCATATTTGTAGAAGTTAAATTGGTAGTTGGCTCTGGAGCCAAACTCCTGCGTTCACCTCTGGCTCTGTCGTATACCAGTGGTATGACCTTGGGCAAGTTACTTTTCCAGTTCCTTAGTTTCCTCATTTGTAAAGCGAGGGGGTAGTGTGATGGTTAAAGGGGTTAGTTGGATAACATGTTCCAAATCGTGCCCAGGATGTGGTAGTTGTTACTGTATGTTTGCTGTTTTCACCACTACTTCTGCCCCAGCATTGGCGTCACCTACATGTTACTATATCCACATCTCATTATCTCTCTTTCCTGCCCCTCTGACCCATCATCCTCACTGCTATCCTGAATTGTCCAGAGAAATCCTAAGAATTTGGCATCTTCTGACATGTATTGGATCTTCTTTACATCATGACCCACTGTTACCACCCAGGTACCCTTTTGTTTTCACATGGTGTTGAGATGGGTGAAGAAGCAAGGCTGATAGTAAGGTGAGAAGGAAAATTCATGTAGTTTGATGCCATCAAAAAGTTGTGGTTACAAAAGAGTTTCTTTATATTTAGAGAGCTAAATCCTGGAGATGAGGTATAGGGCATAGAAAGGAGCAATTTTTTTTAACCACTTGTCTCTTTGTCATAGCTACTAATTGTAAAATCTGGAAAACCTCAAAAAAGCCACATATTTATTTTAGGGACATCAGACAGAGAAGAAAAACCACGAAACTCATTTTTTTATCTCTGAAATTCAGAGGAATAGAACTCTCCTCTGGGAGCCAGTGTCAGTGACTTGCAGCTGAATTGAGGTTTTTTCCTTTCTTTCCTTCTCCTTTTTTTAACCTTTATGATAAGAGTTTCTCTGGGGAAAAGAAAGTAATTCTGTTTCCACATAACTGACTTATATTTCAACTTTGGAACAGCAGTGTTTTTCTCGGTTGGGAACTGCTTACTCTGTACTTTCTCTGTAGACTCCTCATAGATCAGTGGGTCCCTAATTCCACAGGCTACCTCTCGCTCCATGTCATGAATACTGCCTGTCTTTCAGAGTTAATTTTTCAAAGGGGGACGAAGATAGAGCTGACTTTGTTGGGCATAGCAAACACTCATGTATAAAGTTTTGTCCTTTTAAAAGGACACTCATTTGTGGTTAGAGTTTCTAGTTTAGTAAAGATAAATAAGTGACTTAACGAGGGCATTAGCTGGTCAATGGTCAAGCTGAAATATTAATTCAGGTTATCAGACTCGCTGGTTCATTTTCTTTTGTTGCTATCATACTTCCTCCTGGACGTATATAAATTATAGACCTTCTTTATATTGGGGCATCTTTACTTTTATCTGTGAACTGTCAGAAGTTGGTAATTTTTTGAGGATAGACCTAATGGTATACTCTTGTATGAAGTGTCCTTGTAAGTTAGAATAAAAATACGAGTAGCTTATTTTAAGGATCTCCCTTTATTTTTCCCCATGAAACCACACAGTGCATAAATGCCCACCGGTATGGGCTCAGCATTGTTCCCCAATATGTATTGTATAGTTATGAGTTACACTGTTGGAAATTTGTATACTTTATTTATCTCAGTTATCACACTATACCCATTGAGTTTTCTAGGAAACTAAGGTTTGGATGATGGGCCCCTGGCAAAGGCTTGTACTGTGATTTAGGGCTTAATTCCACTTTAGAGCCAGTGCCCTCTTTTCTTGACACCAGGGCATTTTATAAAATAAGTGCTAGTAGTTGACCTGTTTGACTATTTGAAGTGGAGTTGATGGTTCAAATAGTATATTCTAAATTGGGGCAAGAAACGTCAATAAGAACTGGCCTGCTATTACACAGAGCTAATTACAAGCGTAATTGTATGTCTGCTCATGTACGTCACATATTTCCTTTTTTTCCGGATGCATTTTCTGTCCAAGAGACAACAGGGACAGCTTGTTCCTTCTCAAACAAAACCCCATTTCATCTTCCCAAAGTGAGGAAGTCTGGTTGCAGAATTTTTTTTCTCCATTGAAGGAATGGCTTAAGGTTTTCTGTAAGGCAGAGGGCAAGTGTGACTAAGGAGAGGATATATAAATTGCTGGAGTTAGATGTGGTTAGCAAAGATTAGATATGGTTAGCAATGTGGACATTGTCATTGGAAGTCTGTAGCTGGGACTTTACAGAGTCCAGGTAAATATTATCAGAAAATAATAACAACAGTCTGTGTGAGTTGAAGGAATTAAGAAGGTTTATTTTGAACAAGGGAGAAGAAAATATTATAGTCAGGAGGTTATTTTGAAAACCCTTCTTCCATTTAACACTGTGTTTTCTTTTATTCAGCGTTTCATCCATGATTTAATGTATTAGCTCCCAGTGGTTCACATACTGTTTGAGTGTCATAGCTCATTTCTAATTGGTATGCACATATTGTCTCCCCAGTTAAGACTGTGAGTAATCAAGGGCAATATCACATCTTATACTTTTTAAGTTTTAATGTTCTTCCCCACAGAATTTTCCATGCTGAGCCAAGTATATTCCTTAGTCTGTGGGTGAGAATCTGTAAGTGAATCCAAGATTATAGTGGGCTGTATTGAGAGGTTCTTAAATAAATATTTTGGATACATCTGTCACCCTATTTAAAACATACTGTATGCCTTTTACCTTACTATGCTAGTATTACCTGCAAATATAAGATAATTTTGTATAAGTCCCAAAATGATTACTTTTTCCTATACAGAAGACTATCTTACGTTAAATCAACAAGATTTTAATGATCAAAGGAATTATAGTAGCATCAAGTACTTATTGAAGTATAGAGTTTTAAAGTTGTGATAAAACATAACCATTCCATTTTATTTTTTCTCCCCAGTGTTCTGTTTTAGTTGCTGTTTAAGATCATTATAGAGAAGAACACTGAAATTTGGAAAAACATGTTAGAAACTATAGGTAAGACCTATTCTCTCTTATTTTTATAAGAATCAAAACTTTTTCCATTGAGATCTTTGAAATGGTTTTTCTACATAGCAGGTTTTTGCCTAATAACTTAGTTTTTATCCACTAGCATTACACCAGGGCACTGTGTTTCTATATTTGGATGATTTTATCTGAAGTTTTATAAAAATACATCATTTTAAGCAAAAGATAAAAGCATATGTAATATTCTACCAATTATGAGAAATTTAATGAAAATCTAGTTTAATGTAAACCTAATTGATTTATGGACCCACTTTTGGTTAATGGTTGTGTGTGGGTAGCATCAGAAAGTTTAACAGTATTTTTAATCGTGAAAGAAGCTCATTGCCTGCTTTATTTGTGGCAGGTGAAATACTACTGAGCTTTGCTTTTAAGTTGATGATTAACAATAACAAACATTTAGGCTGGCAATCTTCAGTGACAGCTTACGGCAGTTTAATTTCTGCATGAGATAATTTAGGTTGAAATATCCAAATTCATGTGTTAATCTTTTTTTTCACTGGTCTTTAGTTTTAGAGAAGCTAGTTTGTAGAAATCGTTTGAGGTACATCAGGTATACCCATCCTCACCTGATGGCCCAGTGCTTCATATTTTCCAGGGAAGTCTTTTGGTATGATTATTGGAAACCATCTGGATTTCACTCTGGTGCCTTGATACCTGCACATTTTGTGGAGTAGGATGAGAGGAGATAGCAGGGAAAGGAGAGGGAGCTGTTTTTGTGATAGAGGGGATCATTACTATGACTTGTGTTCCTAATATGCCAGTGATGAGGATGAATAGGTGTATATATCCTTCATCTCTCCTTTTATACTAAAGTCCTGCACCATAAAGACCACTACTCCCTAAAGCAGAGGCCCTCATAAAAAAGTGGACAACAAAGGGTAAATACACTATTATTTAAGCAGTCACCTTCCAGTCTTTATTTTGTAAGTTATTACTGATTTGTACACTTTCTAAGAGTTGACATGGAAATTAATACTAGATCTGTATTCTGTGATACCATCTGAAATAAGACCCAGAATAAAATTCTATCTTTAGCATACCTTTCCTGTAAAATTGTGCGTAAGAGTAAATACTGTTTGTTTAATTTGTGTATGTGTGTGACCTCATGGTCAACAATAATTCATGCCTTAATTTCCCCGTTTCTGTGTCATCCCAAATTTGGTGCTATAGAAAGTGTCTGTGGTGATCACACTCTTTGATTACTGTAATATAAGAAATGAGTGATAATAGATACACTTGTTACCATGATGACTCTGTTAGAACATATATTTGAGTAGTCTCCATTCCTTTAAAACAAATTTGGGTTCACTTGTGAGAAAGTGAGAAAGAGTTTTAGGGAGATGTTGGTTTTTTTTTTTTTTTTAATGTTTGTTTGTTTGTTTATTTTGAGTGAGAGAGAGAACATGGGGGAGGGGCAGAGAGAAGGAGAAAGAGAATCCCAAACAGGCTCTGTCAGGGCTCAATGCAGAGCTCAATCTCATGAACAGTGAGATCATGACCTGATCTGAAACCAAGAGCTGGATGCTTAACCAACTGAGCCTCTTAGGTGTCCTAAGGGAGATGTTTTTAACTGTTATTTATTGTATAAACTCATCATCTGGTGGTAGCATGCACGTACAATGGTAGGGATTAGGGCAGGTAGATAGGATTATTAGGTATACACTTATTCAAAATACTTACTTTTGCAACTTTATGCAATATATAAGATGATCAATAAATATTTGAATTATTTTGGCTTGATGCATATATGAGTATGCTATTTAATTTTAGGGAAAGACAAAGGATTAAAAAGTAGTGTTTTTGAAGGGTTATACATTGTTGTGATATATTTTCAAGTAAATTCTCAAGTATAGAATGTTTGTTTAATATATGAAATTGTCATGTTTTGGATGTTATGCTCATCAGTGACATTATCGACATCTACTTATTGGTTATATTTCTAATTTTTCTTGAATGTGAATAACTTTTAAAAAGTAATAATAATCAGCATTTGCAAGATCACAAAGTGGTTGGTTTTCAATAATTTGTATAAGAGTTGACAGCTGGCATTGGATTTCACATGTACTTCACTTGAACTGGTTTCTGCATGTAGCATACACTATACCCAGTTCTCTGCTTTCATAAGACTATCTTACCAGAGAATTCAAGGTGTGAAGGATATATTTATAGGGACATATTGTAGTCCCTTTTGTGCTGAGTCAGTTTTATGCTCTTGAAAAGAATGGTGTTAGGATTTCTGTAAACATGATTTGATTTGTGTCTTTTGAATCCTGTGAGTGACCAATGCTGCCCTTTGATTTAGATAAAACCCGGGCCCTGCAGGCGGCAGAGCGCTTACAAGCCAAGTTGCGAGAACGTGGGGATGTGGTAAATGAAGACAAACTCAGCCTTTTAAAGTCAGTCTTGCAGAGCCCTCTCTTCACTCAGATTCTGAACCTTCAGACTTCTGTACAGCAGCTGAAAGACCAGGTAGGACACCATGTTTCTGGAGCCTGCATTCATGGCAAGAATCTTGTGAAAGTCTTGTGTTTTTCTGAAAGGCTGATTCTTTATGTGTTAATGAATGGTTAATGAAGTCATTTAAACCTCCAAATGAGATGTTCAGATTCACTGTGACTTTTCACCCCCCCATAGTTATTTTTGTAATGGTTGTTGCTGTATATTGTAGATGATATGACATTGTGTTGAAAGCTGTGTGGATGCTGAAGTATGAGTCCCTACAGGAGAAGGGGATGATAAAAATAAGTTGAGGGTAGATGGCCATCGACCTGGTTTCCATTCCCACTAAGGCTCTTTGTTCACGTGATCCTGTGCCTTCAGATTCAGACATTCACCTTGCTTATAAGATTTCAGATAAGCCTGGATTTGCATGTGTAATTATGAGTGTGAGGAAGGGAAATCACCTCTATTTTGACAGTAAAAGAAATAATTACATTGTCATCAGTTAGAGGAATTGCAATTCTCACTTCTTACAAGAGTGTAAGTAGCAATTGCTTCCAATGACAGCATCAGATGGTGATAAACATTAGAACTTCTAAATGTAACACTTTTTTTCTGTAAAAATTAAGAGGATTAAAATTTCCTAGCATTTATATTAAAATTGAAACATTGCTATGGCAGAATGAGCACTCAAGTTAGGTGTCCTTTAAACTTACTTAATTTAATAATCATTTCTCAGGTTTTTAACAAAATGTTTTTAAAATGGTTTTTATCCTTATATCGTTTCAAGTCCATCTCATGCCTTCAACCTAAGTTAATTTTCATTCTGATGTTTTTAGCATTAATTGAATTACCCTGGGTGGATTGCTAACAAATATTCTGCCTTTTATTTGAAGACTAGTTTTGTAATTCAGTGAAAGAATAGCTCTAGTTAAAAAAAAATGTGCCAAATGGAAAAAGAACAAATAGTAGCCAAAGAGAAGAAATTTATTTAATGTCACATAACTTCTTAATCTAGATATTTTGGTAGCAAAAAGAAAAGAAAGAAAGAAAAAAGAAATTTTAAAAATATTCTTCTCTAGTGAATGTCTACCTAATGATTTTAAAAGTCATGATCACGAATTAAGAAAAAAGGTGTTTTTGTTATATGTAGTTGTGTTTGGGGTTTGTTTGCTTTGCAAGTTATTGTAAAGATTGGTTTTAGGTACTCCATTTCAGAATGAATTGGCAAGAGTTTGGAGAGATCAGTATCCTGAATAGAAGTATAATTATGATGTGGAAGGTTATCTGTTTTTTCAGAGAGAGTGAAGAAGTTGAACAGGTGTCTTCTCCCCTTATTATATTATGTGAAAATATGAATAGAATGGGAGGAAATGTTAAAACAGAAGTATTAGTGTGTTAGGAAATACCAATAGTCTAGTGAGATAACTGGAACAATCCCGTCTAGCCCTGAAAGGAGGGAGGAAATAGGACTACTTGTTGGCCTTGTTTTCCTATCTCTGAATAGAAGTTGGATATGGGCTCTGAAACTTTGGGTCCTATGTGATTTAGCTGAAGTCTCCTTGGAAACCCTTGAGTATAATGTTATCAAGCCGGGCAGTCTGTGACTAAAGATAGTGTGATCTTGTTCATTAGTGATAGATGCAGATTTATTTCAAGACTCAGTACATTGTGGGGTTTGGAAATTCTGTGGGCATATCTCACAGGCCTTTGGACTTTTGGCTAGTTTTTCTCCTCTTAAAATACCAAAAGGGACTCAGGAAACCAGCTGGCCCATACCCTGCTTATTATAACTACTTAGTGAGGTGCAGTGACTTCTTTATAAGGGCAGAACCAGAACTAGAACTTGGTTTTCTTGGCTCCCAAGGTACGGTCTCTCTCCGCCCCCCACCCTTTTTTTCCCCTTTATTCTACAGCCTGTCTCACATGTTTTTTTTTTTCCTGCCAGGGTAGAAACTTGTCTCCTCTGAGTCAAGAGTTTAATTTGGGCTAAAACCATTGATTTCTCTCACAGTTTTTGTGACTCTTCACTTCAGTCTTCATTCTGACTAACTCAGTTTCATGTGTTTGTGGAACCAGTGTTTTTCTTACATGAGTAGAGTAAATTTTAAAACCTTGTATTATTTTCTGTTTTAAGTTTAAACATAAATATTATAGACTTTATCATATTAGAATTAAATTTTCTATGTAGCTTGCCCGCTGCTAATTTACAAATAATGACTATTTAATATTTAATTAATGAACCTAGGAATGAAATTTGTGCTTTTAAACCAGTAGCTACACTAGTCTGTTTGATGGCTAACTTTTACTTCCTATCTTCCACCCGGATTAGGTTTTTGATGTATACTTTTATATACACAATAGGTGCAAGTTACTGTCCCCATCTTTTTTAGTATTACCAAAAAAAATTTGACTCCTCCAACTTTACTCCACCGTTTCTCCTACCTTTTATAAAGCTAAAGGAGGGAATAATTGAAAAGCCCGAGGTATGTGTAGCATATTAGAGAACATGATCATATTGTTGTGTTAATGACAGATGCTGACATGCCATGTTGAATTAAGCCGACTATTTTTTCCCTTCAGATCCTTCTCATTACTTCTATTCAATAATGTGTAATTTTTCCAATTTGCTTCCTCAGTATTAAGACTGCCCTTAGAAATCAAACTGTTTCCCTTTGGCAAATTAAACACTTGACAGGTGTGTAACTGAGAGGGCAGAAAAGCCATGTCCTGAAGGGATGTGCTATTTAAATATTGTCAAAAATATTAACAGGTCTGAGAGCATAATTGATGCCTCTGTTTAACTCTGCCACATTGTGTATTGTTCTAACCGCCAGCTAAAAGGATGTGTGCTATTAAACCTGAATAATCTCTAATAGCTCCAGTTCTTTTCCTATTGCATGATTCCTGTTTAAGTGAAGAAAAGGAAGAAAAAGAGCTGTGACTGTGTGTCAGTGATCTGTCAGATGTAAATTCTCAAGTAGTGTCCTCACTGTCACCTAGTCATCACAGCTAATCACTGCAGGCCTCAACGCGTATTCACGACAGAAATCCAGCTATTGTGGGGGAAATAAACACGTTCGCAGTTTAATAATAGAAACTTGTCAGCCTTGAGTATGTTGGATTTGCATATTTATTCTGTGATGTTTCTCCATTCCAGCAGAGGTGGATACTACTTTCCTGATTAATTAATTGCCTTGCCTGATGAACTGACCATAGACAGGAAATTAAATGCCTTTTTACCCAGAGTTATTTGTACAAAATCTGTGATATAAAATTATTACTTTTATTAGAAATTTAGGACTAGTACTTAGAAATCGGCATTGCTGAGTTTATTTATTTATTTATTTTTAAAGCTATGGCAACCGAGGCCAATTCTAAGACTGAAAAAATGATGTGGGTAATTCAGGTTACAAATGCTGCTGATATGGGAAACGAGTATCAGGGCATAGCATATTCTGGGGGTTTCTCCAGAAACCTGTCTGTGATTTCCAGCCTTGTTTGGAGCATTATATTCTGTTATTTTGCTGTTGTTTTTGTTGTTTGATATTTCAGGACTCCTTGTTCTTCACCTTTTTTTTTCCCAGAAAAGTGTTGGCTTATATACATATTATCTTAATGCATAATGTGTGTCTATACACACACACAAAATTGAGCCAAACTTTCCTAAGTTTTTCTTTGGAAATTTTATGACAGCTCTTGAAATAATTGGACAGGTAGAATCTGGTTGGAAATCATTGTTCAATGTTGATTAGAAAAATTGGATCCTTTTTTATTTAAAATACAGTCTTCATGGTATAAAATTTTTGTCTTACATTTCCATGTTCTTAAGTTTTACCTATTTACATTCCCAGGAAAGAATTTGGAACAACTCTCATGGCAAAAATGTATTGACTATTAGGTGATTCAAAGGTAAATCTAAACAAAAACCAAATATAAATATCAGAGAACTAGATATTCCACGGACCTTGGGTTACTAAAATAGAGTATTATTGTTTAATTTCCGTTTCCCAGGAGAAAAGGCAACAATAACAATTGTATATATATAAAGAGAGAGCTGGAGGGTTCTATATTGCTCAGTGTGAGACATCAGTCAGTGAGACAGAATTACCTTGGCAATTGGAGGGTTATCTCACAGATGCTTTTATAGAAGACTTATAATCATTTATTAATAAAGTCGATAAAAATACAATGAATAAGATGGAGGTTCTCATTAACTAGAGAGGGTGAACATACATTTATTTTATGTAACTAAATGAGAAAGTGGTACAAGAAGAAAGAATTATTAACTTTGACTTTGAAAGAAAACTTTGCATTGGAGGGAACATGTAAGATGGGTTCTGAAAAATGAGTAGGTGTTTTCTGCAGTGTTAGGGGAAATTATTTCAGGTAGAGGAAACAGTGTTTACAAGGGTATAGGAGAGTTTTCAAGTGAAGGTGATTTCACATTCTGTCTCCAGGGGGCGTATAGCAATATGTGGAGACATTTTTGACTGTTGTAACTTGAGGGTGGTTGGGGCCGTGCTACAGGCATGTGAGTGGATAGACACCAGGGACGTTGCTAAACAATGCTCAAGTGCATAGCACAGCTTTCTAAACCAAAGAATTAGTGGGTTTATAATATGTGTAATGCTGAGGTTGAGAGACCCTGATACAGTCACCTACAATGTATGTTATCAGGGTAGTGGGCTGTGTGTGGGCTCTTGGAAAGGGAGGAAACTTTGGAGCCAGATTATGAAGGGATTTTTAAGGTGGGCTTCTTTTGCTTTTCTGGGGAGGGTTGTATATGTTTATCATCTTTTCTCTTTTGCACTCAGCATTCTCTATCATACCCCATTGCATCAAGTTGAAAATTGTATCACGTTCTAACACTTCTATTACATACAATATTTAACAATCATATATTTTGTTTATCCACATTTTAAAAATTATAGTAAAAATGCATAACACAATTAAGGTAAATTTAAGGTAAACGTTTTCCTGACATTTTGATAAATAAGACCTTTAGTTATAATTGTAGAATACATAAA